CTCTTCTCACACACAGTGTATGCACATTTTCACACACCTCTTGGCAGCCCCCGCGTTCTTGGCGAGTATCACATAGTTCTGATCGTTCTGGAGAATGTTTTCGGTGGCGTATTTGATGAAGAATGGCTCCACATTCAAGTTATCGCAAGGAATCTCAAAGAAGCCTTGGATTTGCGACGCGTGCAGATCCAGACATACCACATGCGTGGCACCTAGGTATTTTACGAAACAATATATGATAATAATAAAATTAATCAATTAATATGTATTGATACTATCCGGCGATTTGAACCGGTATAGAAACTAGAGCGAACGCCGAGGACTGGGTAGTTGGGATTGTAAGTACCATTGCACGTGGACATGGGTGTATCTCTTGTAAACGCCACATCGAATCGAAGGATGTGCAGGCGTTCGAGACGGTTGTAACATGCGATGTTTCTTTCTTGGTTGTAGCCGATATATTTAAATACTGGTTTGCCTTACTCTTCACGGATTGTCAATCGTGTATGCATACACACACACACACACAAGATAACTATCCTAAGTAGCCCACACACGCACTCTAAGACTATACTTTGTACCGTACAAGCGAGTCCGGCAACAATGGCGCCCAGAATAGCACCACTATCTACTAAATTCACTCTACGCGCGTCTATCGCATACAGCACTGTACCACTTCGCAATTGGCTACACGCGGATAGACAGGACCACTCAACAACTGTGAGTGCTTCCATAGCCCATACTTGGATATGGGCAGAAAGACGCTTCTTGTCATGTAAATCGCAACTGTAGTATACACTTATCTGTCTACTGAGTCATGAACTACGACTCAGTGAGATCGCAAACGATTGACTTCGGAATGGCGTATGCCAACTATAAAAGGGTTCCTTTCCATGTGAAGTTCGATACACAAGCTCGCCTGCTCTGGGATACGCATGTACCTGCACAACACACGGAAAACCCTATAGGCAACTGCAATGGTAGCTATACATATAAGACTCACTAGCTAACCTGTAAAGTATGTATCTTTCAACACGGCTGGTTTAAACTTATTTCTACCTATGCGATTGCGCGCAAAGAACATCTCCTTCCAATAAAGGGCCACACATACCTCGTATGAGATACATATTCAAACTAGAGATAGAGCCCCCAGAGGCACATACCCGCCACTCTGAGCATATCGGCAGCCAGTTTGGCAGGGATACCCCTGCGGCCTTCCTTCTTCTTGCTCTGTTTGCTGTAGAAGTAGTAAGGTACCACTGCCACCACACGGCGAGCAGCGGACATCTTGCACGCCATGACCATTATACACAGCTCCATCAAGGCATCGTTCACGTCTCTGCACATTGATATACAGATAGATATATGAGTGTGTGAGGAGAGTTGCCTGTGGCTATTGTGCATAGCTATATCAGAGCATCGTCCATATCTCCGCAATTAAGATAATCAATCAATAATAACTAAATTGATCATATAATAAAATATTAATAATAACACATCTATATGTA